CCCCCCCCCCCACAGAGCCTGGCGAACACGCTGGACCAGGCCAGCGCGCAGTTCGCCGCCTCGGCGGTGGTCACGGCCGAACAGATCCTGAACCTGAAGGCTAAGGAGGAGCCGCCGCCGCTGGGGGGCGGAGTCAACGGCGTGGTCGCCCCCTCAGGTAGCCCCGCCCACCTCCGCTTCTGTAGTGTTATCACGATACCAACATTTTCAACTCGATACCGATACTCAGGAAAATACTCGATACCATTTTTGATGCCACAAGGATAAAAACAAAGACCCCCAAATGTAACTGTATTTGGACAGGTTGTCCATGTATGTTTTCTGAAGAAGCAAATTGACCAACGGGAGGGAGGGAGGAAAAAAGGGGGAAACGGGGGGGAAAATAAGATGAAAAAGAGCAGATTTCTGCAGTTTGTGGTCTGATTTTTTTTTTTTTCAATTTCAAACATTTCTTTATTAAGGTTTTGTTCTTTTACATAAACGCACAACAACCCCAAACCCAAGGCACAAACTAAAACAGTACAAATTTGTCTCCCCTAAAGCATGAGCTCCATAACGGTGTGAAGTCCCGTAAAGAGAAAACCTCCTCATTGTGGCCGGCTTGTGTTCATATCTCAGTCTTAATGCTACATTCATGTACAGAAAGCAATCGGTGAAGTACTGTATAAGGTTGTGGATTCCTGAAGGGGAAAAGCAAAGTTACCTACATACAACAACCACAATAATAATACTATTACAAATAATGCAACGATCTATCATTTTAATCCTATGTACATTCTAACAGTGTAAGACAGAATCCCAAATAAAATTCCAGAAAATCACATCATGAATTTATAAAAATTGATAACCATCTGATGAGGAAAAACAAGCATTCTTTGTAAGTGGGCAAACCTGCAAAATCAGCAAGGGGTCAAATACTTATTTCCCCCACTGTATATAGATAAAGTGGATTGGATTGGATTTCAGCTCCTTTTAAACACATTTAAAATTATTTTAAAAAGCAGTTTAAAATGGAAACACAGGCTGTTTGGTTCTGCTCGCCGTATGCTGTGACTTAATTAATTAACCCGTTAATTAATTAACCCC